CACATTCCGGACCGGTCCATGACTACTTGGGCAGCAAAGTGGACTGACCGACTTGCTCTTACGGGCGGGCATAAGGATTTCAGGTGATCCATTTGTTGCGAGTAGAATTATGGAAAAGAAAACGTAACCGGCCCCATTCAACCGCACATTCTTATTCTTACCATTAATGCGTAAAGAGAATGTTTCCCAGATTTAAACAAAAGCGCAGTTTTTCTTTTTAATCCAAATAAAATAAGTCTAGAGGTGTGATTTTCTTTGGTGACTTGGTTGGACCATATACGAGGTATAAAAGAAGCGTAAAACATTAAACATGTAGATTGAACATAATTCTCTTTGTAATTTAACAGATGAAGTCAAATTCAATCATAATTTATCAGTTTCAGGCTATCACCAATTGAAGTCATTCAACCAATATCTAACATATCCCCCCTATCTCACAAAATTTTGACATCTTTCTTATTTTAATTGTCCAAAAAAATGTTATTTCAATTTAACATGTTTTTATTGGGCTGGTCTCAATCTACAATTAAACTAAACTTGACCTGAACAAATCAGATCAAATCAGACACGATTAGACTTAGATAATTGCAAAATACACATAGAACATACATTTATCATATCAGACTAGATAAATTCATATCATATCAAACTCAAATAAATCATACGAAATCAGATAAAAAATGACAAAGCAATTAAAAACAAACAATAAATATGCAATTCAAGTTATTTCTTGTGCGTAAAGTTCATTTATGCATTTTTTTAGTTTCTTATTTTAGAGCTAAATCAACATTTTTCCAGCTTTTGAGGACCGTGAGTATGAAAATTGTGTTATTTTCCGTCCAAAAGTGAAGAATATTTTTGCTCCTATCAGTCACTTCGAGAGTGGGGTAGTATGGAAAAGGTCAATTTTGTCATATAGCATCACATAATTGAGGAGGGCTCATAGTCGGGGTTTCACATATTGTGTTCCATTCTCAATTTAAAAAAGGTCAAATTTGTCCGTTTGCACAGATAGAAGAAGGGCGGGAAGGGTTTTGTTTGTAATCAACAATTAACGAACCTGAACCCTACACGTGGCAAAGCTGAACCCACGCTGACTGAAAACTCGGATGCGAGCCACAGACCACGTAAGACTGTACACGTGTCCGAAATCCGGTCGTTCCTAATTGCGCAATTAAGATGGATTAATTCCACGCCACGTCAAACTAAGCTATGGATTGTTAGCATTTCCCACCCCGCCAAGGCCAACAATATTCCCTCCCACCCACATCAATCAAGAGTTCAAGGCTCAACAAATCCAAAAATATTGTTCCTTTGGTTTTTCATTAATAATTGAAAGTTTTGAATTTGGGATAAGGGTCAGTTTGGTCCTCGAAGTTGCAAAAAAGGGGTCAAATAAGTCCTTATATAGAAAATTCTGTCCGGACGTGCCATTTGAGGTGGTTCCCGGTGGAATTTTTTGATTAAATTTTTTTACCATCGTATTCATTAAGTCTAGTTTACTCATACCAAATTTCAGATAAAAATTCAATCGGGAAGACATTCAAATGAATTTTAGAAGATAACTGTGCCGTTAAAAGCGCAATTATCTTCAAGAATTCATTTGAATGTCTCCCCGATTGAATTTTTAGCTGAAATTTGTTATGAGTAAACTAGACTTAATGAATAAGATGCTCAAAAAATTTCATCAAAAAATTCTACCGGGAGCCACCTCAAATGGCACGTCCGGATAGAATCTTCTATATAAGGACTTATTTGACCCCCTTTTTGCAACTTCGAGGACCAAACTGACTCTTTACTCTTTTGAATTTTCATCATCAAGAGACTGACTTAAACTTCCTAAATAAGATTGAGCATATTTTATTTATAAACTTCCTATATTTCTTTGATTTTGGGTTTCAATAGTCTATTTACTTTTAATCCCAAATACATTACAGTACACTTTAAAATTTATATACTAGAAACTCGTGAAACTCTAAATTATACGGAGTACTAAATTAAGAGTCTGCGATTGTTATTTTATTACTGTTTTTTGAGATTTTCTTGTGTTTTTTTTTTCTGGCAATGATGCTGCAATCGGCACAAGGCCATGGATGGATATTAGGTATCCGAGTCGTACTTTTTAGTGAGAATTTGAGCTAGAATAGAGATAATGAATAATTTGTAGTACTTGGTATTTTAGAGTTTACGATAATATTTACCTATCTATATATTGGAGTGATCATAGGCTAACATAATGTCATGGGGTGAAATCTAAACTATCGGTTAGGCCCAATGCTAAATAATATATAACCCGGAGCTACTTGTAATAATATATTCTATCGGCCACATAACGTCACGGATAGCTCAGTTGGCCTGGTGTGGGAAATTTGAAACAATGACTAAGGTTTGAAACCCGCAATGGTCGTGTGGAGGTTACAGCTCCTGCTTGCTGGGCTGGATCTCTGGTGCGCACGGGTATAAGACCTACCACCATTAGACGGACTGAGTCACCGTGATTTACTCCTCCACCATTCTATCGGATCGGGGGTGTGAGGGCTCCTGGGGTGGAAGATTCTACATTTTGAAACAACATCCCCACTTACCAATACTACGTACATGTGGTATTATTTACAAAAGTTAGATAATTAGGACTTCTTAATAAAGAATGGCAATTTCAAAGAACAAACAATGTGATTGGAAATTGATGAAAAAGTACTACTCCGTATATTTTGACAAATTTGTTTTAAAGTTTGTGAACAATATGAGCATATCCAGGGGCGGAGCCAGGACACTGGGCTGGACTGGGCCGGTACAAAGAATATTTTTGGAAAAAAATTCACACGGAATTTTTTACACTAAAAATATAGAGATTTTTAAATTTTGGGCTGGGCCAGGGCCAGGGGTGGCCACCCCCTAGCTCCGCCCCTGAGCATATCTTGAGTTTTCCAAAAAAAAAAAAAAAGAATTGTATCCAGTTTGTTACCCGCTAAGGCACTCAAATAAGTTTTTTTTTTGTGCGCGCAGATAATGGGATGGTTGAAACCCAAAAGAGGGTCACTGGTCACACTTATTCTCCTCCCACATACATGCATGGACCACGGTTCAAATCATCTTTATTGTGCCCTTTATATGTTACTCCACTAATTCCTTTATTAGCATCGCTTTGTAACTATAACGTTTAAGGGGAATTCTATTCACAACCACACTTTTACTAAATACAGCCACATATTTTGCATAGTTCCTATTATGTCCTTAATAATACTCAACTTAATACAGCCTCCCTCGTAGGTAAATCACGTATGTGCATCGCAGAGAAGACGTCCGTGTATCAGAAAGAAGGAAACAATACAAATAGTTACGGAGTAGTTTCTCTTGTCTGCCATAGCTAACGAAGGAAGCTTTTCTGGTGGTTAACTCTCACCAAACTCTCTGCAATTTATAAGCACATATACTCAAGTTGATCGAGAGAGAGCTCAATCATCTTTTACATATATGCTTTCTTCTACTGCTCTTCTTATTTAATTTATTACCTTTTGACCCCATGCACATCACACGCAGAAGCTCTAAGGTTTGATCCAGAACACTCTTTGTTAGTACACACATATTTATGCTCCTTTTTCTGCTGAGAAAAGTAAGCAACACCGGCTAGAAGATACGAGTAACACTGAAGCTCCTGGCGGGTGTCTTGGGGAAGCCGAAAAAGTAATCAGAAATCAAATCCGGGAAATAGAAGTAAATTTTGGGGAAGAAGTAGAATTCATGGGCTGTTGCGGAAGCGGATAAGTTGAGATTAGGGACCGGTGTCTTCTTCTGGGCGAAGATGATAAAAATTGGGGTGAGCTTCTCAATCCTTCAATTTTGTCAACAACGTCCACTGGATAATAAGCTTAAGAATTCAAGTAACGTGAGATAATTGTTCATCTTTCTCTTATTCAAGATTCCCTTGGGAGACATAGACTACGAGAGCCTGTATTAAATTGGATACTTGGATAGTAAGGATATAATAGGAATTATGAAAAATATGTGACTGTATTTAGTAAAAAGGTGGCTGTGAATAGAATTACCCAAAGTTTAAATGCACCTACGGCGGCCAGCGGCGTAACTGGGGGCCATTCTAGACCTCGGCCCATCCTAATCCCGACTAATCCCAAATTCAACTTTATTTGAACTAATAAAGCAAAAATATGTTGAAAAAGTTCACCAAATTTCTTTGTACTGATCCGGTTCATTATGTGAGTGTTTGGAAAATGGCGTTTCAGCTAAAAATGACAATCTGACCCCTTTTAAAGTTTTAATAAGTGAAAACGTTCGTCACCACTACTAGAAAAAATGACATTTGTTGCGGTCGTTTTGACTCATTTGCTGCGGTTTTTGCCCGCAGCAATAGCGGGAGCAGCAAATTCCGAAAATTGCTATTTGCGGCGGTCGTACCCGCAGCAAATAAGGGGCCGTTTTTTTTTAAAAAACACTTTTTGCTGCGGTTCCTCAACAACCGCAGCAAATAGATAACCGAAATTAATTTTTTTGCGGCGGTCCTCCACAACCGCAGCAATAAGTATTCATAAAAGAAAAAGGAAAAATTGAAAACAATAATCCCAACTATTGCTGGTCCGCTGAAAATAATCTCAACTATTGATTATTTTTGTATAATCCCAACTATATAGACTATCCGCCAATAATGGTCCATGACCATATATTACCTCTATAAAAAGTGAATTTTAAATATAAATTAAGCGTAAAAATTAAAAGTTGAGATTATTTATAGGGATTACTTGTTATATCTCATCTCATCCACTTTAGAAACTACATGAATTTATTCATAGGGACCATTATTGGCGGAAGGTCCCTAAAGTTGGGATTATTCTGTAATAATCAATAGTTTGGATTATTATGAGCGGACCGCCAATAGTTGGGATTATTACTATCAATTTTTCCAAAGAAAAATGTGCACCTTATTTACACATTATTTGCTTTTAATGGACATTTGCAATCAATCCAAATACCAATCCAAATATCAAATATCAATCCAAATATCACAAGACAAAAAAAGTTACCTAAAAGTTATATAGTTAATACATTTTCAATCTAATATAGAGTTAATATAGAGTTTACAACAAATTGTCGCAAACATATATCGCCAAAAGTTATATAGTTAATACATTTTCAATCTAATATAGAGTTTACAACAAATTGTCGCAAACATACATCGTCCATCTATCACGAATTTCATCAATTTCTGCCATTGAAAACGCCTCATCTCGTAAGGTGCTCGTGTACACCTAAAATATAAAGGTGTTCTAATTAGTACAACTACGATTTGGAATATAATTTCATAACAATTACCCTTTCACATTATAACTAAAACATTTTTCATGAATACACACACACACATGAACACATACCTGCTCCAGATCTTGACCTTCATTGATACTTCTACTCAGATCATACATGAATCTCATCATATAATATCCACACTCTAAGCTGCCCGTTTGTTTTGCGCACTGAAAAATTATACACAAAATATACTTTATATTCATATTGCTCACTACTAAATTAAATGACTTAGAAACTATAGTAAAATATTTAGTGAAATGTTATATATACTTATACCTTCATCTGTTTCCAAATGATCTTGTTCACTTTTTCACTTCCATGGGCACAAGTATTTCGAAAAACACTATTATTATTATGAAACATTCAAAGTTAGAACATAGTTTTGATGAACAACATAGCTAATGCATTAACAATTATCATGTTTGCGAAGGAAACATTTTATAAAATTACCTGCTGAACAATGACATGATTAATAAACGACGCATCGGGCTAGTTCGAAGAGAATCAAACACAAATATCATGCCACGTGAGATCCAAATCACAAGCAATACCCAGTGATAACTACATGAGTAATTAGCGATTTGCGTTATATAATAGCTAGAAAAACATATTTGTATATCATCCATATTATATCTATGTAATGAACTTAATATAAGTAGATAGAAATGCATACTTTTCATAATAAGGAGCAACAAGAATATCTATGTCTGCATTCTGGGATTTAGTGATTGCTCGGTGTATGTAAACTTTCACATCTTCAGAGTTACTTTCACATGCTGTTGAAGAAATTGATTCGGGACACATCCATCCAAGCTGTGCAAATGTATCCAGACCCTGTAGATAATCCTGCATAGCTCTGCAAAAGCATTGAGTTTAATTCCCATAACAAATTACATAATATAGTAATAACTCATACACTTTGAAGATCTTACATCACAAATACTTGAATAATGGAAATGTTAATCATTGCTCCAGATAGAAACTGACTGATGTCCTCGATAGTAAGAAGTGCATGACTATCATCAGATTCATAATGGAACATAGAAGCATCCAGTGTAATAGCAATGGGATCATCACTAGATCGGGATGCTATCATCGAGTGCAACCATTTGCAATCTCTAGTAAGTGACAATAAAACATTTTGTACACCCGTGATACAATGGCTTTTCTGCTGCTTGTGACAAATTCTCAAATATACGTGGTTGTCCACTACAATGATCTTTGACGTCACCCATCATCTCATCAATGTGATAATCTTTGTCACCCTCATCATTATCTTCCATTTCATCTTCATTTTCATCTTCACCTTCACTTTCAGTTTCAATGTCGTCATTATTCTCACCCTCAACATCAGAACATGTCTCGATTGTGACATTGGTCATCTCATTGGCATTTGTTTGATCTTCTGTATACACACCTTTCTCACCATGCCATACCCATACATAGTATTCTTGTCTAAATCCACGACGAATTAGATGTTCTCTGATTGTCTCTATTGACTGGAATGAATTTACATTGGCACAATCCACATGCACAAGGACAATATAATTCATCACAACCAGTCAACGCTCTATAATCTAAACAACATTTGCAAAACTCAGCTACCCCATTCATAAACTCCAATGTGTTCCTTTTACCGTACATCCAGCTTCGACTCATCTTTGCATAAAAAATTGAAAATCACATTAGTTAGATTTTATAACCAAATAATATTAGGTTAACTAAATTTACTAGGTGTTGTGTTGCATTAAAAATTATATATATGAAGAAAATCATGCAAGTGTATATCTATTTGATGTTTTTAGTCTCAGGTTAAAATATAGTATCATATTCCAAATACTATCGTATATGATGTTTTTAATGTGTATCATATCCAAATAATAATATTATGATAAAAAATATTCCACCTAGCACAATGATTCTCTAAAAAAAAGATGAAACAATTTTAATGAGAGGGAGAGAGTATAATATATTTTAAATTGGAAAACCAAAACAAAACCTCATTTGTTAGAGAAATAGTGTACTGTAGTACATGGGTTGGTATAGGGGCTAAAGGGTGGCTCAAGAGTCAAGACTAAGCTCCTGAAAACAAGTGTAGCTGCATTAAAAGGTCTCTGTGTGGCACCCCTCTGTGTCATGCTAGTATATATACCACACAAACAAGTTCTACTTCAATAGAAATATTTAACCCATTTCTGTCTTCTTTCAAAACAGAGCTTTAAAAAATAATTTAGCTTCATTATTGTTCTCTGGCAACCCACAACCAGCCCTTCTTCCATCTTAATTCACAAAATATAAATAGGGCATATATCAAAAGGCACAAAATATTATAGATAATACTCCTCCCATCCATGGATATCTCTTCTGTTTCACTATATCTTGATCCTCCCAATTGGCCAAACCATCACCACCTCCAGGTAGTAATATTGTAATTGATTAGTGAAGAACCGTTACATATATTTCTCATTTAATACATAATATTGTAATTGATTAGTGAAGAACCGTTACATATATTTCTCATTTATGAGAGCTTTATTTCTTACCATATAGATATACTTAGTTGTAGTATAAATTGCAGCTCTTGTAATGTATTTTGTGTGCTGAATCATATTCAAAATCCTTCTCTTATCTTTGTTCTATAGAAACCATACACAAAATCAAAACAAAAAATATATCTGTAAGGCTGCGCCTAGGCTCCTCTATGCCCACCTAGCACCTTCAACAACATAGATTTTAATACATATGGCTACGGACTATTATCTAGAATTTAATTCAACTTTTTTAACTCCATAGTCTGACTTCCATTGCAAAATCAACATGTTTCTATGGTTAATTTCATACTCATTTAAAGAAATCAGAAAATGCTTATATATGAAAGAATCCAAGTCTGCAACTGCACTTTGCAGATATAGAGTTGTCCTACGCTTGGAGATATAGAGTTGTCCTACGCTTAATTTCAAAAAATAATGAAGAATATACTTTCATAAATATAAATTCAGTTTTGACATTACAACAAACGGGTACTGTGCACAGGCTAGCAATTGAGAAGGAAATGATAAACACAAATGAGTACGAAGGAATCACAAACCTCAATTTATGAAAACATAACATCAATTCTACCAATAAATTCACAGAAACAATAACCTAAAAATTGATAAAGTTCAATAAATTAAATGATATGACAAATGGTTAGAAAACTAAACCTCTATTGAGAAAACAAGGTCTAGAGAAGATGGAGACGAGTACGGCGGCTCTACTGAAAAGGGGGCGGCGGAGTGTGGTGTGTTGTGCAGAGACGGCCGCGACTGAGAGTGGCAGACGGACACTGTTGAAGGAGGCCCGGCGACTCTGGTGAACCTGCGGAGGGGCTCTCCTACACAGACACCGGCCTGGCGAGTCTGCAGTTGGAACGATGGAGACGACTGGAACGATGCGTGCGGCTGAGGAGATAGAAGGCTGGAGAACGATGCCTAAGGTAAGGTTAAGGGTTTTTTTTTATCGAGAAAGAAAAGCTAAGGCTAAGGGTTATGCATTTGTTAAGCGCTTATTGCTGCGGTTACGATAAAAAAAAAACTTATTTTTGAATTTTATTTAATTCGCACCATGGCAATTTTTCGGTGTAATTGTTGCGGTTGCAATTGGCCCGCCGCAATTACATAAAAATATTGGGGTATTGCTGCGGTTGTACTCATGACCGCAGCAAAAGGGGTGCAGCAATTGATGAAAAATCTAGTAGTGCACTCAACGAACGTTTCAAGATCTTAGGAGGCGTTTACTTCACCGGTTATTAAACGGTGCTTATTAAGACCTGTGTTAATAAGCGGTGCATAAAATAAACAATGTTGTAAGACTGTGTTTACTTCAAACGGTTTAAAACACCGCTTAACATTAAAATGTCCAAAATAACCCTATACATATATACACACACAAACATTCATGAACACAAGTATATAATATAAATGTGTACCCATACCCCCTAACCCCTTACCCACCCTACCTTACTCTGACCCCACCTACCCCCTACCCCTACCCTACCTTACTCTGACCCCACCTACCCCCTACCCCTACCCTACCTACCCGACCCTACCCCTACCCGATCCCACCCTACCGCGACCCTACCCCCAACCCCATAGGCCCCTACCCCCATACCCCCTTACCGCATCGACCCCACCCTGACCCCACCTTACCCTACCTTACCCCAACCCCGCCCCTACCCCTACCCTACCTTACCCCGATTACCACTACCCTACCCAATCCCACCCTACCCCTACCCTACCCGACCCCACTCTGCCGCAACCCTACCCCCGACCCCACCGCACCTACTCTGCCCCTAGCGCCTCTATCACATTGGCCCCACCCCGACCCCACCACCCTAGGTATAGGGTGGGGGTAAAGGGTGGGGTCGGGGTATATGGTGGGATGGGGTAGGTGGGGTAAGAGTATGGTGGGGTGACTGCGGTCAGGTAGTGGTAGGGTGGGTCGGGTAGGTAAGGTAGGGGTGGGGTTGGGTAGGTGGGGTAGTGGTAGGGTGGGGTTCAGGCGGGGTATGGGGTAGGGTCAAGGTAGGGGTAGGGTGGGGTTGGGTAGGTGGGTAAGGGGTGGGGTAGGTTTGTGGTCTGGTAGGTAGGGTAGGGGTGGGGGTCTGGTAGGTAGGGTAGTGGTAGGGTGGGGTCGGGTAGGGGTAGGATGGGGTAGGGTAGGGGTAAGGTGGGGTCAGGTAGGTGGGGTAAGGGTAGGGTGGGGGTCGGTTAGGTAGGGTAGGGGTGGGGTAGGTAAGGTAGGGGGTAGGGGTGGGGTAAGGGTAAGGGTAGGGTGGGGTCGGGATAGAAGGTGTAGGGTAGGGGTGGGGTAGGTGGGGTTGGGGTCAAGGTGGGGTCGGTAGGTAGGTGGGTCAGGGGTAACAATAGGGTAAGGGCAAGGGGTAAATTCGGAAACTGAAAAAGCTTAAAGTGCCGCTTAATTAATACATGGGGGTGTGGTAGGCTTAGTAAGCGGCACTTTAAGCACCTATTTCTGTTAGTAAGCGGCTTTTTAAGCAGCGTGCGTGTTTACTTCACCTGTCTTACTAACCTAACTGTGACTTTAGCAGCGAAGTAAACGCCTCCTTAGTCTTTACTAAGACTAAGGAACTTTGCTTATTTATTTTTTTGAGGATCGACGAATCAAATGAGATTTCAGTTCAAACGTTTTTGGATGGAACCGCTGAAAGGGAAACATTGCAAATATGAGAGTTTTGAGTTAGCATTTTGAAATATGGTGTTTTTCAATTAATTGTTATGGTCAACAACAAGTTACCACACATCTTCTAACAACTCGCCAACTTAGGATGTTTTCTTTTGGACTGAAATTTGTTAATCTGGTCTGGTCTGATCTGGCCTGATCGGGTCTGGTCTGAATAGGTCTGGTCTGGTCTGGTCTGGTAAACGCCTGGTCTCTGTGTATTTTATAACTATGGAAGTCTGGTCTGGTCTGATTTGGTCTGATATGGTTTAGCTTAGGTCTTGTAATTGCAAATTCCTCAATGCCTAAGAACATGTTCTAGCAACTTGAAGACAATTGGTAGGCGCAGATTCTTTGAAATCATTTGAGGGGTTCTTTGAACATAGAGACAATTGGGTGAAATTGTTAGCTAGAGGGGTTCTTTGAACAGAGAGACAATTGGGTGAAATTGTTAGAGGGGTTCTTCGGAAGAGCAAGCATCATCATAAACTTTGGACATGCCATGCCCACTTCGGTTTCTCCAGATTCCTATCAAAACATTGCCTAGGGTATTTTCGTACTTTGACAAAACTTTACATAAAAAAACACTTGTTTACCAACACTCTAACTTTAACATTTTTATTAAAATCACTTTTATTCCCAAACACTTCTAACTTTTACTATAAATCATTTTTCCAATAATCTACTCCCTCCGTCCCCGAAAGAAGTTATCACTTTCCTTATTTGGATGTCCCTATTTTAAGTTCCCATTTCCTTAAATGGAAAGTTATCTACATCAAAACAATGTCAAACACTGCAAAACAGTGTCAACAGTGTCAAACAGTGTCAAAACAGTAAAATTTACCCCCTGATAAGTTTACTTGCATAAAAGTGTGTGAAAGTAAAATGGGGAACTTCTTTCGGAGACAGAGGGAGTATTAAAAAAATCACTTTTAAAAAATACTGAGCTTAAGTTGCATTTGAATTGTGCGTAGGACTTGGTCAAAAGTTTGGCCAACAACATGATAATCTTTATGGATGCCACCTCTGATCAGTATTATTAAGGAATATCCAACCTATTTTGGGAGATTCCGTCGCACGGATACGGGATACCATTTAAATTTGGTATATCAGCAAATAAATCTATGACATAATCGATGTAAGCAAAAAATATTTGGTGCAATCCACTGATAAACGTGTGTGTAAGCGAATAAACCGTAATTTGGTGAAAGGGGATGATGATAACTAACGATGTTTTCTTTTTGACTGAAATTTGCTGGTCTGGTCTGGTAAACTCTGGTCTCTGTGTATTTTATAACTACGAAAATCAAGTCTGGTCTGGTCTGATCTGGTCTGGTCTGAAAACAGTCCAAAAGAAAACATCCTAAAACCTTCTTTGTTTAGACATAAATACTTTATATATTATGGATATATAAGACCCAAAGTTTTGTCAATATATACAGTATTATTTATACATAAATCGAGATAACAATTTAAGATTGTCTAAACAAAGAAGATTTAGGATGTTTTCTTTTAGATGGTTTTCAGTCCCAGACCAGATCAGATCAGACTAGACCATACTTGATTTTTGTAGTTATAAAATACACAGAGTCCAGACGTTTACCAAACCAGACCAGACCAGACCAGACGGTTTATTCGCTTACTCAATTACACGTTTATTATGTGTAATAATAAACGTGCGACAGAAACTCCCAAAATAGGTTGGATTAGTCATGGACCCGGGCCGGGCCGGGCCGGGCTTTTTTTTGGGAAGGAAGGCCCGGGACCGGGGTCCGGTCCAGTCCGGGTCCGGGCCGGGCCGCCTCCGGTTTGGTTAATTTTTTTTTATTTATTTTTTCGCTTTCCTAACCCCCCCCCCCCTCACCCCCTCACCCCCCCCCCCCCAAAACCCCCAAACCCCTCCTAACCATCAAGCCCAACCCGGGTCTACCCCAAAAATGAAAAAAAAAATCAATTAGGCCCGGATCCGGGCCCGGCCGGGCCAGTTCGCCAAATACAAGACCCGAGCCCGGACCCCCCCCCCCCCGGGCCTAGGCCCGACCCGGACCCGAGAACCGGGCCGGTTCCGGTCCCGCACAGTGGCGGGCCGGGCCGGTCCCAGGCCGGGCGGCCCGAACCGGGTCCATGCCTAGGTTGGATATTCCTTGATAATGCTGATCAGAGGTGGCATCCATAAAGATTATCAAGTTGTTGGAATGTTGGCCAAACTTTGGGAAAACTGTCAAATAGGTCCTCGAACTTTCATAAAAAGGTCAAATAAGTTCTTATATAGGAGGCTCTGTCCGGTCGTCGCGATTCAGGGCAGTTCATGGTGGAATTTTTTAATGAAAAGTTTTGAGCATCTTATTTATCAAGTTTAGTTTACGCATACCAAATTTCAACTAAAATTTCAATTGAGAATGCATTCAAATTAATTCTTGAAGACAACTGTGCAGTTAAATGCGTAGTTATCTTCAAGAATTAATTTGAATGTGTTTCCGGTTGAAATTTTAGCTGAAATTTGGTATGAGTAAACTAGACGTGATGAATAAGACGCTCAAAAATTTTCATCAAAAAATTCCACCGGGAACCGCCCCAAATCGCGACGGCCGGACAAAGTCTCCTATATAAGGACTTATTTGACCTTTTAATAAAAGTTCGAGGATTTATTTGACAGTTTTTCCTATCCATATATATCTGTATTACTAGCTGGGCTGCGCGCGGTGCGCGTGAATCGTGCCCAATGATAGCAGCTAAGACAATGGATTATGGGTAACAATTTTTGAAACCAAAGAGTGCAAGCAACAAGGTAATGATTCAGATAAATTGTAGTATTGTTCAAAAGGAGTTTAATGAAAGGGCGTTGCTAGATGATTGCGCTGTTAGCGGTGACAGAAATAACGGGCCAGTCAAAATAAACAAGAAGTCATCAGAAAAGTGTTATAACGTTTTAGCAGATCAAGAAGGACCGGCATGGTTGATGATGCAAGAGCTGTAGATTTCGTATTTGTGGTTGTGAATGGGTGGGGATTGTATGCCATATTGCGCCATGTTAATGAGTCTACTTCTACCCCTGCCATACTTGAAGAATGCAATGGTGGTTCGTTTTTTGAGGGCGAAATGCATTTGAAGTTGGAAAAGTATTGGGACGGCTCGTGTGACCATATATGCGTCATCTGTTTGAAGGAATGCTTGGAAGTGGCCTTGTTGATCGTTGGGTTGGCATAAGAAAGGTTCACAAGTTTGCTGAATTGAAAAGATAAATGTATGATGGGGTAAAGTATTAAATATACATGAT